CATGCTGCGGCCCAAATGGGGATTGCCTCAGCTCAGCTGCACCCCAAAATGGGGGTGACTCCAATCAGGTGCACCTGAAATGGGGGTGACCCCCCCAAAACCAGCTGCACCCCAAAATGGGGCTGACCCCAAATGAGCTGCACCGCAAAATGGGGTTAACCCCAACCAGCTGCAGCCTGAAATGGGGCTGACCCCAACCAGATGCACCCCAAAATGGGGGTAACCCCCCCAGCCAGCTGCACCCCAAATGGGAGTGACCCCCAATGAAGCCCAACCTAAAATGGGGCTATCCCAAATCACCTGCATCCCCAAATGGGGGTGACCCCAACTCAGCCACCCCCCGCCCCAGCAGAGACTCCGCAGCCCCGCCAACGCAGCGCCCATGGGTGGCAGGAAGCGGTCGGCGTTATTTACAGCCGGGGGCGGCCAGCGCCAAACCCACACGTGTGGGGCCCGAACGCCTGGGTCCCCGTAATCGTCCCCCGGATGCCTGAGTCCGCAGACGTGCCGGGTCCCCTGTGTGAGGTGGGGGGGCTGGGAGGTGCCACAGGGGTCAGTCACAGAGCTAGGGGTGTCCTACGTGATCGACCCCAAATTGGGGGAAAATGAGCAGAAATTGGGTGGAATTACTCAAAAGGGAGGAGGGGGCGGAAATTGGCTGAAACAGAGTGGAATTGATCCAAAGGGGGAAAAATTGACCCAAAAGACGGTGGAATGGTCAGAAATGGCATAAAATTGATCCGAAAAGAGAGGGAAACAGACTCAAACCCACATGAAATAGCCCCAAAGTGGGCAAAACTGGCCCTATAGTGGGCAAAGTAGACCCAAAATTTGGTGAAATAATCTCCAGAGTGAGGGAAAAGTAGCCTGTATTTGGTGAAATTGCCCCAAAACTAGGAGAAACCGACCCAAAAAGGGGCGAAATCAAGCCAAAAAGGGGAGAACTGATGCCAGAGTGAGTGAAAACGGTCGCAAACTGGGTGAAATTGGCCCAAAGCAAGTGAAACTGACCCAAAAGGGGGTGAAATTGACCCAAATGGGGGCAAGTGGTGACCCCAAAGGGAGTGAAATTGACCCACACCGAGGTGAAACTGATGAAGGGGTGAAACTGAGCTGGAAGGGGGTGAAATGGACCCAAAGCGGGCACCCAGATGCCAGGGTCCCCAGGGAGGTTGGGATCACCCCACACGTTGCCGTTGTGCTGCGGGTGTTTATTGTCCATGTTCAGCCGCGTGCGCCCGGTGCTGTGTCCCCCCCCGAACTGCCCCATAGATCCTCCCCCCTACTGCCCCATGGATCCGCCCAAGTGCTCCCCAAACTGCCTCATAGACTCACAGCTGCCCCCTGGCCTGCCCCAGAGACCTCCTGTTTCCCCCCAACCTGCCCCATAGATCCCTCCAGACTCAAAGCCTGCCCCACAGACCCACAATTGCCTCTCAACTGGTCACACAGACCCTCCCAACTTTCCCCAGAAACCCCTCAGACCCATAAACAGATGCATAGACACTCCAACTGCCCCCCAACCTTCTGCAGGGACCCCTCCAGAGCAATAACCAACCCTAGAGACCCCCAACCTGCCCCACTGATCCCCCAGCTGCCCCTCATCCCCTCCTAAATACGAAGGCTTTGGCATGTGCAAGCAAAGAGCAAGTGCAACCCACGGAGGCCCCCAGTGCCCCCCAGTTACCCCCAGTGCCCCGCCGGGACCATCAGTGCCCCCCAATGCTTCCAGTCCTGCACCAAGCACAGAGAACACCCCATGCTGCAGAGCAAGTCCTGGGCCGGATCCATGATCACCCCATGGCACGGGGCAAGTCCACGGCCAGATCCATGGGTCACACTGCACCGTGGAGCAGCCATGGGACCCCCATGGGGTATTTATGAGGCACCCCATGCCATGGGGCAGCTCAGGGGTGATGGACCCCCATGTGAGGCTCCCAGGCACCATGGGGGTACCTCCATGACCAGCACCATGGAGCACCCCATCCAACGGGGCACCCATGGAGTGGTCATGGGGTGCCCATTTGATCTCTGTGGGGCACCCTACACTATTGCACACCTCAAGGATCCCATGCATGAGGCCTCCAAGCACCCCAAGACACCTCCATGACCACTCCAGTGGTGCACCCCATCCAATGGTTCATCCATGGAATGTTCTTGTGGTGGTGGTGGGGTGTTCTCTGGACCTCTATGGGACACCCCGCACCATAGGGCACCTCAAGGGTGCTAGATCCCCATGCATGAGGCCCCCAAGCACCATGGGGCACCTTGAAGACCACTCAATGGTGCACCCCACGCAACGGGGCACCCATGGGATGTTCTTGTGGTGGTTGTGGGGTATCCATTGGACCTTTGTGGGGCACCCCACACCACGGGACACCATGGGTGGGGCTGGGGGGGGGCGTAGTGGCCTCACCCGAAGAGGCGGAGGAAGCATGGCTGGCAGTAGGGCTTGCCCTCCTGCTCCTGGAAGGTGCCCTTGGAGAGGGGCCGGAGGCAGAAGGCGCAGACAAAGTGCTCGGGGTGGAAGCGTTGGGCCATGGCGGTGACGCACCGGCCGGCAATGGGTTCCCCGCAGCCCCGGCACAGCGAGCCCCGCCGGGCGTGGAAGTGCCGCTCACAGTAGGGGTGGCCACCATCCTCGAAGAAGCTGCCCCCCACGAAGGGCGCGAAGCACTCCTGGGGACAGGGACACAGGGATGGGAACATCAGGGACCAGGGGAGGTGGGGATGTGGGTTGTGAAGTGCTCCTGGAGGTGGGACGTGGGGACGTGGGGACGTGGGGACATCAGGGACCAGGGAGGTGGGGATGGGACATGGGGATGGGAACATCAGGGACCAGGGGAGGTGGGGATGTGGGTTGTGAAGTGCTCCTGGAGGTGGGACGTGGGGACGTGGGGACATCAGGGACCAGGGAGGTGGGGATGGGACATGGGGATGGGAACATCAGGGACCAGGGGAGGTGGGGATGTGGGTTGTGAAGTGCTCCTGGAGGTGGGACGTGGGGACGTGGGGACATCAGGGACCAGGGAGGTGGGGATGGGACATGGGGATGGGAACATCAGGGACCTGGGGAGGTGGGGAAGTGGGTTGTGAAGCGCTCCTGGGGATGGGAGACAGGGACATGGGGACATCAC